GGCGGCTGGGGGGCCTCGTGGTCCTGATCCATGTGGGCACCTGGACATTGACCACCCACTCCAGGCTCCTCTGGGCTTTGTAAAACACCGTCTCTGCTTTTCCAATAAAGGGCGGCACGATGGCTGCCTCACCCTGGGGCTCAGCTGGTCTCTCTCTGCCGGGACCAGGAGCTGGGAGCTTGCAGATCTGCTTTGCTGTGCAGAGGGGGCAGCGGGCAGGAGGTGCCACCCACATCCCCGTGGAGCCCGGCTGTCACCGACTTCACACGAGCGCTGGCCCAGCTGCAGGCAGATGTGCTGCGTAGCAGGGCCAGGTGAGGCTGGGGTGCACCAGGCCTCCAGCTGGATTAACACCCAAGAAGCTGGGATGAGATGTACTGGATGGCAAGGGCAACGTTTTGGCCCCCGGATGTGCTAAACTGACCCCAAAACAGCATTTTGGAGGGACCAAAGTTGCCCGTGTGATCGGGTGGTGCTCAGCACTGAATTCGGGTGAGAGGGGTGGGAGCGTGGGGCAGGGAGGCACTGCCTGGGCTACAGTCAAGTCAACAGCCTGACCTAGAAGCCCCCTCCAGCCCCCCACAGCTACACAGCCCCGAAAAGATGCCAGCCAGAGCACCCAGCAAGTGAGGAGGGTGCACCCCCAGCACCAGGCATCGTCCCACCCTGCCACAGGGAAGGCAGGGGGACCGCAGCCACCAACGTCCTGCTGCTGCAAAATAGATGCTGGAGATCCCAGGCAGAGGCTGTGCTCCCACTTCAGAGGAAGGCAAACCCCCCACCCCCAGTCACCAATGTAACCAGGGGGGCAAATCCCCTCCTGACCCCAAATGCAGCGTCGGTCTGACCCTAAGCAGAGGGGCAAGACCATCTACCCAGGACCCTGTAGGGTTGATCCCAGTATGAGCATTGGCACGGCCCAGTCCCAATCCCCAGCCTGGGCTGCAGAAGCACCCGGCGTCTCTGAAGGAGGCTTACAAACCCCCGGACACATGGAGCAGAAAGGACAGGAGCAACCAGCAAAGGCCCAAAGCCTGGGAAATCCCCACAGTAGCACACAGGCATCGCTGCACCTAGATCATCCCATCCCTGTGGCTCTCCAGCCTCTCCTTGAACCCCTCCAGCAATGGAGACCTCGCCCCTTCCCTGGGCATCTCTTCCACTGCCACCTTGCTCTGACAGCGAAGAAGGTTTTCCTGAGATCCAGCTTAAACTTGCTTTGCTGCAACTTCCAGCCACTGTGACAAAGTCTGGGAGCCAAGGGCCCGTCCCTCGTTGTGCGTATGCGCAGCCCCCATTGCAGCAGGGCCCCGACTTTGCAGGCAACCACCAGACACCAGTGGGACGCAACCTTCACAGCTGGCGACGGGGTAGGCGGCCGATCCTGTTATGGATTGCACGGGGCTGCGAGCCATTGCTGGGTGGGAAACACACCTGGTGAGATGCAGGGCGTGCCCCTTCCTCCTTCCCGCGGGAGGCACCAAGAGAAGAGACATGCCCGGTGCCCGGGGTGCAGGCGGCTGAAAGAGGATTTCCTGACATGCCCCATGGAGAGGGAAATGTGGTGCAACACATTTGCCAGAGCCCCTGCCAAAGCCAGGGTATAAATAGGCTGGAGGGAGGGGAAGAGCTCTGGGCCAGGGTGTTTATAGCTATAAAAAGCCAAGCCGGACGCCTCGGAGCTGGCATGTCAGCTGTGCCCCCGCACTGAGCGCATCGCCGGAGCCGACCCACCGCAGAAGCAGTTGCTGCCCCACACCCCAACCCCAGCTGGGGAACGAGGTAAAATCCCTCGCCAGACCCCATCCCTCTCAGATCCACCTGGTCTACCTGAAAGACCCCCGGCCTGGTTAACGAGGTATGGGGGCAGGGGCTGCTGAAGCTGGATCTGGGGGTTATCAGGCCTCTTGCTAACAATGCCGTACTGGGAGTTTCCCAGGCCGCGGCAAGACAGACAACAGCATCTGGAGCCTACAAACCACCGACCTGTTGCCTCCAGGGTTGTGCATGGGGTGGGGGTTGTTTATTTGGAGGATGCAACCTGATAAGGGTTTCTGCAGGTCTCTCCATGCCAGGAGCCCCGGGAGCAGCTGCTTCCCCTGCCTGCCAGGGTTTGTGACAAGCTGATGTGGGGTGTTGCTATAACATGGGCTCCTGGCAGGCTGGGATCTGGGCAGGCTCATGCAAGGAGCCGACAGCCCCGTTCGGCTGTTTATGAAGGAGTCCAGCCTGCGAGGACCCGGAGTCCATCAAAGCCTCAAACACCTTCCTAAAACTGGGGCTCCCGGCCTTCAGGGGCTGGCGGGGGAAATCGCACACAAATGAAGTGGGGTGCAGCAATGCCGTCGCTATCGCCCGTCAGCTCTTACTAAAGCTCGTGGCACTTCGCGCTTCCAGGAGCGGCGCTGGGGAGTTGCCAGCTCTGGGGGTCGCAGCATCCCTGCGGCGTGGGTTGGCATCTGAGCTACAGCTGTGGCAGGCACAGAGAGGCTTCAGGGGAGCTGGGCTTTGAAGACAGCCCGCCACACGCCTGGGCCGTGAGCTCGGCCTACAGAGCCCCCGTAAACCCGGGTCTGCGGCGTGTGGACAGATGGGACACTTGTGCCGGGTGCGCAACCCTTCTGTGCAGCCTGAAGGGCAGGAAAAACGGGGAGAGACCCAGGAGGAAACCCCTTGGCTATCAAACCCATTCACTTTGCTATCAACCCGCCAGACCCTGGGGCCGGCCCAGTGGCATGTGGGGCACAGCCCCAAGGTGGGGATAGCTGGGGGGGTGCCCCCAGAGCCTGAGGAGGGTGGAGTATGACATGGGGCGGGCTGCTCCGGGCAAGGGGTTTGCCCTGGAAACGTCCCACCACTACAGACAGCCCCAGCCAGAGCTGGTATCCCCGCTCCCACATCACCTCCACCAGCCGATGGCAATGCCCATGCCCCGGTTATACCAGCCCCCTGCCCTGGCTAATGCAGCAGGGAACTGGGATGCCCCAGGGGGCTGGAGGGGCCTGCGGGTCCCCTTCATGCTTGGCCCTGCTAAGCCCGGCTGTCCCAGTGTGATTGCTTTTTTCTGCCTGGAAGATGTAGGTAAGCAACTCCGCTCTTGCCTAGTTCGACTGTTGGTTCTCCGGGGCAGGCACCGTCCCTTGCTTTAGAGACGTACAGAGCCGGGCGGAAGGGGAGCTGGAGCCGACAGGTACAGGGCTCCCAGGGGCTTCGGTGGTGAAGCGTGGCTTGTTACTCACCAGTCACTGGCTGATCTCTCTAGGCAAATGCTGTTTTTTCAGATGCCCACGGTGAAGATGGATGTCTGCAGGCCGGTCTTTATCCTGCTGCTGGCTGGGATCCTGGCAGAGCACCCTCAGGTACTGATGCTAGGCTCTGAACCCAATCCCATCACCAACAGAAGGAGCATCAACAGCAGCATTTTGCCCTAAAATGCCTTTGGGCTTTGCCCAGCCCCTGCTAGAAACAAGCAGTAGCTAAAGAGCGAATGACATTGTCATTAGGTTTCAGGGTCAACACCCATTGCATCCCCGCCGGCTATCGACTCAGGCAGGCTGTACACAGAGGTTAAGACCCTGCGGCTGCTCACACCTGCTTATCTGGAACTGTTGGTGCTGCCTGCGGTTTGTGACGTTAATTAAACTTGCTTTGCTGCCCGCGTGGCCGAGATGGCAGGAAAAGCGGTGCCACGTCTCGTTCGGAGGCCGGCTCCTGTTGGCTCCGGCATCGTTGCAGAGGAGCTGGATGGAAGCGTCTTCACGGGTCGCTCGAGCTGGGCCTCCCACCTGCCTGCGAGGCGTTTATGGGCCCTCTGCCTGTGCTCCCAGCCTCTCCGTGCACTGGGCAGAGCAGCTATCCCAGAGCCCAAGGGAGCTGAGGCACGTGCGGGCAAGGGAACCCATATGGAGGGTGGCCAGCACAAGCTCTAACCACTAGGCCATGCCCCTTGCAGGACAGCACATGTCCCCTGCCAGCACTGCCCCTGCAGCTGCAGAGGTCATTGCCCGTTGCAGGATGGACAGGGCACCCCCTTGAACTAGCAGCAGGCTGCACGTGTGCTGAGCGCGACAGGCAGCAGCATCGGGCACCCCCAGCCGGTGCACAACGCGACTGTGTCAGTGCCTGGAGTGAGAGATGCGTCCTCCTTCCCCGTATGGGGCTGGGCCCTGCGCGCCATGCTCAGCTCCTGGGTGATCTCAGCCAAGTCCCCCCCCAGGAGGTAATGCTTCTCCGAGGCTGTGCACCACCCTGGACCTTCACAGAGCCAGCCTCTGACCTGCCCCTCCTGCAGGAAACACCCACAACTTGCCCATGGGGCTCCACTACTATATAAGTGTGTGTGTGTGCATGTGTGCGCACACACACAATATAGAGGTAAACATTATACACAAACATACAGATAGATATGTAAGCCTAAAATACGTTTGCATAGGCACACACACACACGCACACATAGATATAGCATGACAGCGTGTCCATACACACACGATGTATGCACACGCTATATAGACACACAATACACACACACAATGCACACATACCCATATGTTTATTTTAGACTTACATGTGTGTGCATGTACGTACACACACATACACACACACACACACACACGGGATATTTTGGACAGGTTGGACTAGATGTGAGCTCCGGAGGTCCCTTCCTGCCCTACTGCGCTAGGACTCTATAACTTTACTTTTATATGTATAGTGTGTGTGTGTGTGTGTGCGCGCGCGCGCGTGTATGCGTGTGCGCATGCATGCCTACACATGTTGCTGAAGCTTTTCACATCACCACACCCTTGCCCTGCTCTGACTGCACCCTGCTCCCATGGAGGAATCTCCTGTGCAGAGCCCCCGAGCCCTGTGCGAGCAGCCTGAGGCGGGAAGGCACGCTGTCCCCAGCTCCCCGGTTGACATGCTGTTGTGATCTGGGAACTCGCCTCCAAGCCCTTGGGCTTGCTCAGCTGCCGCCTCCGCTTCCGCATTCCTGATTTCCTTCCCTCTTCTGCCTGCCTGCCTGCGGCTAGTATGAAACCAGCAGCCCTCCCATGCCTTGCCCTTGCATTCACCCCTGTTGCAATTAATCCGGGTGTCCAACCCCTTTGCAAAAGACGGGCCAGGAGTGCCGCACCTGCATCCACGCTACCAAATCCTCATGCCTGCATCGTGCTGACCGCTCAAGGAGTTGCCACAGCTCCCCTCACTGCATCCTCCCCTTGTCCTCAGGTCCTGGCCTTCCCCCTGCACAGGAGGGACCTGTTCCCCATCAAGGACATGAGGCTGGACATGGCACCCAGCGCCTTCGATGACCAGTACAAGGGCTGCGTTGCCATGATGGAGGCCGAGCTCGGGGCGCTGAACCGCTCGGAGTTCTCCAGCAACCGGGTCTACGCCGAGGCCTGGACGGAGGCTGCCGCTAACTGGAAGGAGAGGCAGGCGGAGACCCCGGTGCCTCGGGACCTCAAGGCCGAGCATGCCATTGCCATCATGGCCTACACCATGCAGGGGCCCCTCCACAGGGACTTCAACGCGGCCGTGAGGGAGGCAGGCCGCACTCGAGAAAACTACCTCGGCAGCTTCCACTTCAAAACCTTACATTTCCTCCTCACGCGGGGCCTGCAAGCCCTGGGGGACACTCAGCACCCCCGGTGCCACAAGGTGTACCGGGGCGTGAAGGGCGTGCGGTTCCTGTCCGAGCGGAGCCAGACCGTGCGGTTTGGCCACTTCACATCATCGTCCCTGAGGAACACGAGCGCCCTGCAGTTTGGGCAGGACACCTTCTTCTCCATCCAGACCTGCCACGGCGCCGGCATCAGCAACTTCTCCATATTCCCCGGCGAGGCTGAGGTGCTCATCCCGCCCTTCGAGACCTTCACGGTCAAGAACTTCACGCGGGCCGGGGACAGGACCCTGATCGAGCTGCGCTCCCTGGACAAGTCCAGCTCCTACAACTGCGAGTTCGTCAAAGGTAATGCCCCGTCACGGCCCATCTCACGGGTGGTGTACACCTGGGGGCTGGCCTGGGACAGGGATCCCTTCCCAAATCTCTCAGCATTCGGGGAACAGAGGAACTGCAGTGCACCAGGTCGTGTCATAGGTCTGTCTTGCCCAGTCTTTCGTGCCACACCCTGATCCTAACCATAACGCGAGCCCTACCCTTAACCCTAAACTTAATCCTAACCCAAGCCTTAAGGCTAACCCTAGCCTTAACCCTAATCCTAACCATAACACTAACCCTGGCCTTAACCCTAGCCATAACACTAGCCATAACCCTAACCCTA